TGCTGGAAAATGTGTGTGTGGGAGTTTCTATATCATGCCTGTCATCCTCCTTCACTGGGGTGTTCTAGGGAGGCCTGAGCCAAGCCAGGGCAGAGAGGGGGTCACCTCAGAGGCTCTACTGACATCCAGATGGTTTCAGAGATCAGGGAAGCCTCAGTAAGGGTCCAACAGCCACCCCCAGGCTGCTCCAAGAAATCCATCAGGATGTCAGCAGGCAGTGCACATCAGGGTGTGGGCGCATCACCCTGCACGTCAGTAACTGTGGTACATCCACTGGGCTGAACCCCACAGCCTCCCTCCATCCTCACCCTGCTGAGGTCCCCTCTGCATCCTCAGGCTGAGGCTGGTGGCAGCTCAGGGTGAACTTGGTACCCCCAGGTCTCGTGTGACCCCCTTGAGCTTCTCTGGCTTTACATCTGCGTATCCAAGAGGAAAACCTAGCATGGATGGGAATATGTGCCCAGGGGGATGTTCTGAGGTGGAGGTTCATGGGGGAGAGGAAGGATCAGGTCCATCATGGTGGGTTTTCTCACTGGCAGCTTCTGGGGGGAGCAAGGTGCAAGTAGGTGAGGAGCAGTGAGTGGGAGGGCTGATGGCTTTTCTCTGACCTTCAGTGCAGGTGCTCAGGGAAGGGGGCTGGCATGAGCCTTGCTCTGGAAGCACCACGCCAGTTGTGAAGTTACCAGGCTTTCAAAGTACCTAATTCTTCCATCAGTGTTGGTTCCTTGGTAGTTTTCCCCACTGCTGAGACATTTCTTTTCAAATGTTTTCGTTTCTTTTACCCCCTGCCCTTCCTCCAAATACTTGCAGTGGAGATTTGTGGGCAGCTCAAATCCAGGCAAGGCAGACACAGTTCCTGGCAGCACCCCTGGCTGGTGGCTCTTGTGAGCATCAGCTGAGCAGGCCTGAGACCTGCTTCTGCAGGACCATGTCTGAGGGGGTGCCAGCTCCACTCACCCCTGGTTCTGGTGGCCCTGGTTCAGCCACAGCTGCTGGGAACAGACAGATGTCACCTCAGGTCTGGAGGTGGCTGGTGGAGAGCAGGCTGACAGCCTGGGTCTCCTTATGCTTTACCCTGACCCTGCTGCTGGGCCTGTATCCTGAACCCCACGAATCTGGTGAGAAAAGGTGTGGCTCAGCTGGTGCAGTTTCATAGCCTGGGTTGCTACCATGAACAAGGTGGGAGAGAATTTGGGAAGAGCATGGAAGCTGCTGCTGGCAGTGATGCCATCTGTGGTTTTGCCCATGAAAGAGCCAGTCCTGGCTCTCCCAGCTGCAGATCCCTCTCCCTCAACAGGCGTGTTGGGTGGGAGAACAAACTTCATCCCCCCCTGGGGTGAGCCCAGCACTCACACCCGTGGTGACACCACCCTGCCAGCCACTCTTTGAGGAGAGCATCCCTTCCTTTCCTGGGCAAACAACTACTGAAGGACAACAGGAAGGTGAAAGGTGGCATTGGAGCCTTTTTCTGCTCACCTAAGGGACCAGGGGAGGGCAGCCTCCTGCCTGGGGCTGCTCTGGGGGTGTGAGTAGGAGCAGGGCAAGGCTGGAGGGGAGCAGGGCTGGGGGTAGTCGGTGGGTCACTGTGCCACTGCCCCCCCAGACAAGTGTTTTGGCCACAGCACTTGGCAGTCATGTTGCTCCCTGCTCCCAGAGGAGTATTTCCAGAGCCAAAGCCACCAGTCATCCCTTAGGAGGGTGGGCTGGTGTCCCCCCATGCTGGCAGCAAGGGCTGCCTCTCCATCCCCATGCAGATTCAGAGGTTGCACCTGAACATCAGGATTAGGCTGAGGATGCAGACACCAGAACCACTGCAAACAGAGGTGCTGAGCAGGGCTGCAAAAGCCTCTCCTGGGCAGGGAGGTTCCCATGGCTGAGATCCCAGCCACACTGGGGAGCAACGTGAGGATGCATCTGCAAAGGGCATGGAGGAGGAGATCAGGTGCAGAGCACTGGTAGCCCAGCCCAGCCCCAGAGCTAGTCCAGAGCATCACCCCTAACACCACAGAAACACTCTGGGAAAATTTTATGATCAGTTGCCTCTTGCCTGAGCTGATTTTTGGGCACATGTAGGCATTCTGAATAGGCCACTAGAGGCTGAACGTGGACAAATGTGAATTCAGTAGACAAAGAGTGTTTTTAATGGGTAATTACAGGTTCTCAATTGACAATATTTATACAACCTTTCCAGTTTAAAAAAAACCCCGCAGTTTCCATGCAGAGTATATTCTCCTGGAGGATTTGTTTGACCTTCCACACCATTTTTATCTGCAGGATATAATTACAGCAAAGCTAGAAATATTAAGCATTTGAAAAGGACTAAATATCTACCCCAAACTGGCTCCCTCCTCACTGCATGGGAACATGAGTGTGCAGGAGCAGGGAAGCTCACAAAGCTTGGAAGCACTGGGGCTGCAATTCAGGGAAGGACACCCAGTGGGGACAGACCTGGGGTGTGTGCCTTCCCTTGGGGCTCCTCCAGCTCTGTCAGACTCAAAGCTGTGCTTAAGCCACTGCCTTCCCCGTGTCCTGCAGCCCTTGGCTGCTGGGTCCCATGGCAGGGGTGGTCAGAAGCAAAATGGTTTTATGCCCAGTTTAACTGTCTGATGACCAGAGTGCTTCTGGCCCAGAAATAATTCAGAAAACACACATTTTAGCCTTTTAATTTATTCTCTTAATATAAGGGGTTTGTCTTACATCCCCTCCCCCCCCCCCCCCCCTTTTTCCTTTTTTCCTCTTATGTTTCAAATCCTCTGGCAGGGAGGAGGGTGTTCATAAGGAAAAGGGCTCACTTCAGGCTCACAGCAGCTTGGCCCTGGCATAGCTGGGTTGATCCCAGCAGCCTTAATTCTGGGCAGCACTGGCAGGTAGAGCCCTGTCCTCTCTGGCTGGTTGCTGGTGCTTGGTGCACCTGTTAGGAAAAGGCTGGAAAGGCACCACTTCTGATTAGAAGGCAACCTAGAGCCTTCTGCTCAAGCCTGAGCACCAGCGACCTGTGTGTCTATTTGCCCCACAGGGGTTTTAACTCATGTCTTGATTACACAGCTCTTGCTACTGAAGAAAACTGGGTAGGTCTCCAGGGATTTGTCAGTCACACTCCTGTTGCAAAACAAGCAGATCTTTTTACTGTTGGCAGTTTAAGGTCCTTGTCCCACCAACCTGACAGAGTGTGTTCAGGGAGAGCCACCTGTGCTGGCCCCCAGGCAGCAGCAGCAGACACATGGAGCCCCTGTTTGCAGCACTGTCCCTTGGAGGGAAGAGATGAGAGGCTGTGGCTTCCCTTAGGACACCTGGGGAATGGGGGTCCCATGG